GCCCAGCGCAGGACGGCCTGGCCTGTTCTGCAGACCCGCTGGCACCAGGCCGGGCCGGGAGCAAACAGCCCCTGTACCGGCGGCACAAGTGAGCACAAACGCCACTCCCACAGGGCCCGCCGGGTTAGAAAGAGGAGACCCGGACATCACACGCCAGAACTGATGTCAACACAGGCCTCACACCTTTCATAAAAGTCAGCTCCAGGTGGATCGCGGACGTGGGCGCGGAACTCCTGGAAGACAACACAGGAGACAGTCCAGAGGGCCCTGCGCACCACGGCAGCCCCTGGACGCACACCAAAGGCGCCGCCTGTGGGCAGCCACCAGGGGCCGCTAGGGGGGCGGGGATGCGAGGCCGGGGCGCTGGGGGTGGCGCTCCGCGGGACAACGGGACGCGTCACTGTACGCCAGCTCCGGTGGAGCTTACCGCGCAGACTAGTTCCTCCTCCATGGGACGCCACTTAATTCTTCTCTAAACCCCAAACTGCTTAACAGAACGTCTACACGCGTAAATTTAAAGAGGAGCCCAAAAGAAAGAAGCCAGAGGGGGACACTTCAGCCAGCAGGAGGGCCCGCCTCGGGGTCCTCACGGCGGGCACGTGTGCCCGGCCCTCTGCTCCAGGCCATGGCCACTCAGCTGGGGCCTGGAATGACCTTGGTCAAGCGGCCTCCAGCCAGGGCTGCAGGAGGGCTGGGGGCCCTAGAGGTGAGAGGGTCCTGAGGGCCACCACGCAGGCCTCTGCGCCCCTCCTCAAGTCACACCCCTGCGTTCACTCCTTCCCTCACCCATTCCTTCAAGATGTGGACAGCTGCCTGCCGAGTGCCCGGCACATCCGGCCTCTGGCTCATCTTTCACAGACCCTGCGTCTAGCCATTCTTGTGTGAAAGGAAAGCGGACACCAGCCCCCGCCCGCCCCAGCAGAACGGCGAGGAGCTCTAACCAGGGCTATCGCGATTAGCGAGCTTTCTCAGATTCTCACCACCGGGGACAGCACGGCCGAAACGCTGTCCAGGGGACAGTGGGCCGGAGCACCTCGCACCGGAAAGGCGCTCCTTTCCGAGACGTGCAGCCAGCGGGTCAGTTAAGCAAGGGGCCTCGGAAGGGGGGCTCCCAGACTCCCCACCACCACCAGCTGTGGGCACTGCCACCAGCAGAGGGGACTCACCACCGAATGGGGTCTGCCAGCCGGAGGCCTCAAGGGGCGCGGCCTGGGCCCGCCCAGCCCGCATCCAGGCCTTCAGTGCAGTTTGCTGGTGGCCACTGCTACGAAGGCCGCATCCACATCACGGAGCTCATCTGTGCGTGTCGATTACCTGATTCCCACTCGTGCAGGTGTTCGTTCAGGCACGCGTGCATTTTCGACGTGTGATGACCATCCAGTGTGTGCCAAGCACCTTCCTCCTGAGCCCACAGTTTACCTGTGAATCAGCACAACACAGACTCGGGCAGGCACGTGTGAGCTCAACCCCGTGGGCTGCGTGGGGTTTGCAGGGACAGACTGCCAGGCGGGTGCAGGGCCAGCGAGGGAGCAGCAGATGCCCCCGAGGACGGGTGCCCGAGCTCCGCGTGGGGCAGGCCTGGAGTCGCTCTGAGCCTCGTGGTTGTCAGCTACTGCGGCAAGTGCAGCCCAGGCACCACGACGGGGGCCCTCCAGAGGTCGGCCGGCTCACAGCGGCCTCTTGGTTTTTGGAGTCTGAGCGGTGCAGGCTGTGGGCCCACGGCCCCACAGGCATCAGGACCAGCCTGGCCTGACTTCACAGTGTCCAGCCAGGGGCACGCCAGGGCCAGCGCAGAAAGAGTTTGACTCACAATGAACCATTCGTCACACTCAGAGCCTGGCCCTGAAATAGGAGGAGGAGAAGGGGAAAATGTCATCAGGCGTTCAACAGCTGTGTTGGCAAAGCTCTGCTTGGAAGTGAATTCCATCTGACAGCCTCCCAGCCACGCGCGTCAGGGCCCAGCCAGCCGTCCTGCGGGGACAGGTGGCAGCTCGTTTGTGTGACATCCAGGAGGCGGCTCGCCAGTGGGAGACGCACCTGGGCCAGGCACAGACCCGGCTTGAGGTTCCAGCCAACGGTCCTCCACTTATGGGGAATCCATGAAATCTTAACAACTTCCTGAGGTTTGCCAAAAAGCATCCTTCTAAGTAGAGCACGACAAATGCCCCCGCGTGGAGCCAGGGCCACAGGGGCTGAGGCGACCTCGATCCTCCCCCGACCAGCTCCCCACCTCCCCGGTCACCGCGCTCCGAGGCGGGCACACCCACCAGGGTCGCCCAGACTCCAGCTTCCCGGCAGCCCCCACTCAGCCTGCCTCCAGGGCAGAGGTGCCCCTTGTCCCGAGGACCGGTGTCCCCTGGAAGGGCCGCCTCGTGCCCACGTGCCCCCTGAGTTGCTTTTCGGAAGTGATTTCCATGTGATGAGAACACAGGGAAACCTCATTATTCAGACGCCGCTAATTAGGGGTTTTTGATCTGCCCGTCTGGGGCCAGCGGAAAGTGACATTTGCTTTCTCCACAGACAGTGCAAATTAGCAACCAGACAAGATCGCAGGGACCTTGAGAAAGGCAGAAGCAGCTCCCGGCCCGCGGCTGTCAGCCACCAGGAGCAGGTCTACGCAGGAGGTGCTCATTATGAGCCTGTCTCTCCCTGTCAGGAAGGAAGGCCCCACAGGGCGGCCAGGACACTGCTGCCCCCACCCCGAGGGCCCGTGGGCCCGTGTGCGGGAGGCCCCGGAGCGGCCCTGGGAGGCGGCACCAGTGTCACCCCCACTTCACAGGGGAGGAGCCTGAGGCTCTCAGAGGGGACGCTCCCCTGGGTCTCACAGGGAGGGCGCCACAGGGGCCACCGGGGCCCCCTGCCTCAGGGCCCAGCTCGCCACCCGCCCCGGGCCATCGGGAGAGAGGGCGGGTGCAGGCTCTCCGCTCCTTTCTCGGACTTCGCCGAGCTCCGCCCCGTCGGAGAGGCTGAGAGGACCAAGGCAAAGGGACCCTTCTCCTCTGTAAATGTTGGGAACCTGGTGGTCAACAGACCGGGACAGCAGGACGGGAAGCATCGTGTGGCCCTGGAAATCCGTGTTGCTGGAAGGAAGCATCCCCGAGGGGCACAGAGTGAGGCCCGGGCAGTGGGAGCCGTGGAAGGTGACAGCAGGAGCTGGGGTGCGCACCCAGGAGCCTGGCCACTCCACGCCTTGACTGCGCAGCCTCCATGCCAGACGGGGTGGGGTGGAGAACCCCTGCCCTGGGAGAGAAGGGAAGGGGGACCGGCAGAGGAAGGAGTGGGAATCGGGGCACATTTCCTGAAAACTCCAGCTCCCCCAGGTCTCCTCCCCTTGCAGTGGAAAACGGGGACCCCCGCCCCGCACTCACCCTACTGGCGTCTCACCAATCCTTCTGCTCCTGGCGGTTGGGAGATGTGGCCCCACTTAATCCCACACCTGCTCCTGGGGCAGGGGCACCCATGGATGTGCGATCCGTCCTGTTCCCCCGGGGTCCACAGCTAAGGGACCATGCTTGGGGCGGGGCGGGGGGACAGGGAACCCGGGGAAAGTCACACCTGCCCCAGAGGGACTGCGTTGAGCCAGCTGCAGTGGTCCTCTTGCCGAGTCCTCCATCCCACCCCACTGCCCCCTGCAGGAGCGGAGGCGGCCCCAGGGAGACCCAGCGGGGTCAGCAAGCCGGCAGCCACGGCAAGGCACAGCATCCACTGCACGGACAATCCCATGCCCCAGAAGCAAGATCTCCCTCCACCGTCTGCCCACACCCGCTCGAATCCCCAGCGGCACGGGGGACTCCATCCTGTGTCCTGGGGGCCCTGAGCCCCCTCCTGCTGAGGGGCCCAAGGAGGCATCTGCCCCCTAGACTGGTCAGTAGCTGGTCATCGGCCTGGCGGGAGGCCCTTGGCCTCCTTGCCCGGAGGCCTTCAGCTCATTCCGGGCTGGGGGGCGGGAGGGGCAGGAGGGCGCGTGGGGCTGCGGGGCGAGCCGGTCCCCACAGGACAGAGGGCTTCCGAGCTCATTGGCTTACTTGTCACCAGATACTCGCTGGACACCTGCTACGGCCCAGGCCCTGTCCAGCCCTGGGGCCACCTGAGTCTCAGGCCGTGAACTGAAGGCAGCCAGCACCGCAGCGAGGTTTTCTGTGGACACGCCCTGCTGGGGGGGAGCGGCGGGACCCGGTGGAGCCGGGGGCTTAGCCAGGGTTGGGAAAGGGCCCTGGCGGGAGGGAGGGGCGGGAGGGACGGGTGGAGGCCACATGGTGAGGGTGGCCTGGACTCCCAGCCAGGACAGAGGGCAGCGGCTGGGCTGGGGAGGTCGGGGGTCTGGGGGTGGGCACTGGGGACATTGAGCAGGAAGCTGGGGTGGGGAAGCGGGTCCGGGAGGGCCCAGGTGCGGGCCCAGAGCAGAGTGAAACCGCAGGAGCCTGTTCCAAAGAGCAGGCGAGGCGGGCCGTTAAAGGCGCTCAGGCCCGGAGCCGCGCCCCTTCTGCCACATGATGGCTTTTTTGCTGCTATTAAGTGTCATTCTAAGTAAAGAAAACTTTTAAATGTAAATTCTTGGCATGAACTTTGCCACTCATCCCTGTTTCTCCTCTGATTACTACGTCACAGCATCTAGCTCGTATGCAGAATCGCTAAAATCACTCAATTCGTATTCCACGCTCGTCCCCAAGGAAAGCCTGGATGTGGCCCAAGAGACCAGCCACGCCAGACGCAGGGAGCTTGGAAGGAGGAGGAGGCCCCCAGGCCAGAGCTGCCCCAAGGAGCGCCCCTCAGACCCTGGGGCTGAGCGCAGACCAGCCACCTTCAGGGGCGTCTGAAGACATCCTGTCTCTCTCTCTCCAGCCCCCGCCCATGTCCTTCTCTAAACCGGGAAATCGAATTTCCATTTGGGGCCCCAGCCCGCTGCAGTTTCCGGGATGGGGGAGCTGGGGGGCCGCCCTTCTGTGAAAGGTGACCGTGATCATTTATTTGACTCTCTGGCAGGAGCGTAATCAAGTTTGGACGGGCACCTCTTCCTGGACTCGTCCTTGTTGCCAGGAAGCCCTCAGCCTGTCGAGCAGCGGGGACAGTGGGCAGACCCTCCTGTGCCTCTCGTGGCTGAGGCCAGGGCTGGGATGGCTGGGACAGCTGGGGACCACGGTGGCCTGTTCACCTGCCGACTCCCTGGGGAAAGGGCCTGGTTGATGGAGATCCCACGGGTGCGAGGGCCCTGCTCGCTCCTGGGCCCTCCCCGAGCCCGGCAGACCCAGGGCCCTGTGCGTCCACCCCTCTGCCCTCTCCCTGAGATTCACCCGGCTTTGTCTACCCCTCCAAACCTTGCGGCGCATCTTCTGTGTCTCTCTGCCTGTAAATGCCGGAGAGCAGGGCAGGGCTTGCTCAGCCTGGTTTCCCCAACACACCGCTGAAACCGGGCGCTTCTGACACCCACATGCTAGTGCGGGGAGGACAGGGAGGGACGGAAGGAGCAGGGGAGAGGGATGCTAGTGGGAGACAGCCAGGCAGTGGCAGCATCAGGACCAGACGGGCCGGCGGCCGACCTCACCAGGTCATTCAGGTGTGGCTGCCGGGCCTGGCGGGGCTGGGCGGAGCCCTGGCCCTCCGGGCCCTCAGCCAAGGACCGAAAAACCCCTTTCCTGGGAAACAATCGGCCCTCTGCCGTTCCCATTTTTCTCATTTCAATAATTCTTGCAGCCCATGTTGTGTAAATAAAATTATTCTTCCCCAAAAAATCATTAGCAGGGCCCGACATTAATTCGCCTGCAATCTGTGTAATTAACTGCATGTAACACAGGGCATTAAAGGATCTGCTTGCTAATCACCCCTCCTCCGCTCCAGGCACCTAATTAGCTCCCTTCCTGTTTATCCTTTTACAGGATCCTGCGCAACCGTGCCGGCCGCCGGGAGGGCAGCTGTAATAAATCATCTCTTTGTGACTTTCAGAGGGTGCTGTTCTGCCGTCTGCGTTTGCATCTCATTCTGAACGCTGAGCCCCCACCCCGGTGATCCCCTCCCTCCCAGACTCATGACTCTCCACCCAGGCCCCTGGGGAGGGGTCACGTGAAGGGGGTGTGCAGCCCCGGGCAGGTGGGTGCCGGAAAGGGCACCCTCGGGGTCCAGGTGAGCGTCTCGCCCACGGCACACCTGCCCTCAGGTCACACTTTCGCCACTGAGGCCCCTTCACAGAGACCTTTGTGACCCCCAACCTGCCTCTGTTAGATGGGGCCCGGGGACCACCTTTCCATCCTCACACCTCCCGCTTGTCCAGTCTCCTTAACAGCGGTGCTGGGACAACAGCGGGGTCTTTGTCCCTTCACTGACGGCCCCAGCCAGCCGGCCGCTCAGAGGGGGAGCCCCAGGAACACAGTGGGGGGTCCGAGAGGGGAGCTTTCCTTCCTGACAGCTCCCAGTCCTTGTGGCCTCAGGGAGGCGCACGACATCCTGAGCTCCCGGGTCCTGGGTTATAAAAGCAGGTGAGTCTGTGCCCAGGACGGCGGTGGGCTGAGGAAGCGGAGGCGGCAGGGCTCCCAGGCCCGCCCCCGGGCGTTGGGCAGGAGCCTTCGCTGCCTGCCAGCACTGCACGGAGCCCCCAGGGATGACCTGCCGCCCAGTCCTGCGGACGGGCACGCTCAGGGTCCAGGAGGTCAGGCTGCTGGCTCGGCGCCCGCCGGCTCCCATGGAGGCTTGCACAAGGCCGGGCCTGAGGGAGACGGGCGGGGCTGGGTGCGGGCGTGGAGTGGCGGCCGGTGGAGACCAGGTGTCTCGGGAGAGACCTGCACAATCTCTGAATCTACCGGAAGCACTGAACTGCACCCTGAAAACAGGCGACCTTCACAGGATGTGGATTACACCACAGTGAACCATCATCAAAACGGCTCAGGCCCGTGACAAAGCCCCACCCACGGTCACTGTCACCCCTGCCCTCATAACCCTGTGGGGGGGTCCAGCCTGAGCCAGGCAGGTGTTCCACGCAGAGCGTCCGAGAGCCACACAGAGTGAGGACCCAGATCACATTCGGAGGAGATGGAGACAGGAGCTGTGCGGGCCCCAGAACGCTCGGGTCCAGCCGGGGCCTGCTGCCCCCACCCCCGGGCAGCGCGGACCCCTTGCTGGCCTGCGGGTCCCCGACACGCCCTCCGGAAAGCTCCAGGGACCTGCACATTCCCAGGCGAGAGCCCTCTGCGCCTCCTCCACACGTGGGCTGCACACCAGCCGTGTCCACGTGGAGAATGGCAGGTCCCACCGTCGACAGACCACCTGACCGCTAGTGACTAACAGCCCCAAGGACACCAGGTCCTAACCCCGGGGGCCCTGAACGTGACCTTATGTAAACAAAAAAATACCTGAAACTTTGCGGGTGCAGTTGAGTTGAGGATTACCCAGGTGGCCCTACCCGCCACCCCAAGTGCCCTAGTTAAGAGGGAGGTAGAGGGAGACCCGACCCCAAAGAGGAGAAGCCACGTGAGGACAGAGGCAGAGGCTGGCGATGCGGCCACAAGCCAAGGGGCCTCTGGGGACGCCAGCTGCCGGCAGGGCCCCCCCGAACCTCCAGGAGGAGCACGCCTGCCGCACCTGGGTTTTGGACGCCGCCTTCAGAACTGTGGTCTGCAGCCCCTGGGCTCGTGGGGACTCACTACAGCAGCCGCAGGGAACTCACACAGACGCCGAGTCACAGTCTGAACTTTACACGATCCCTGGGCAGCTCAGCCCACGTCACGGTTTTCAGAAGTTGTGTCCGGGAGGCCTGGAGCCCGAGCCATCTCCGGGCCAAGCCAGACTTCCGTCTCATCTCAGCGCGAACAGTACCGCCGCTAGGAGCAGGAAGCCCAGGCAGGCAGGACGCGGAGAAGCCGCGCCCAGAGCCCAGGACACGGGCCAAGCCCTCCCCTCCTGCAGGTGCCTGTGCACACAGCTGTCCCCCGCTCCCTGCAGCCGCCCCGAGGCACTGCCTGGATGCTGGCCCCTTTCTCCGTTCTCTTCAGAGGTACTTAGGTTTATTTCTTTATTCATTTATCTATTTTAGTGGAGGCACCAGGGATTGAACCCAGGATCTTATGCGTGCTAGGCGTGCGCTCTACCACTGAGCTGTACCCTCCCTGCTAAGAAGCCAAGACTCCCCACGCCCCACATCAGCCACCCTGGGGTGCTAGTCACCCTCAGAAGAAGGCTCGGGGTGGAAGTTGTAGCTCAGCGGTTGGCGCACATGCTTGGCGTGCACGAAGTCCTGAGCTCAGTGCCCAGTGCCTCCCTTAAGGGAAAGAAAAAAAGAAAGAAAGAAAAACGGGTTTTCATAGATTAATAAATGGAAAAGGCTTCGCAAGCAAGAAAATAAATATTTTTAAAAAGAAGAAGGCGTGGACCGGGGCCAGGCAAGGGCGAGTCTGCAGAGGGCTCTCTGAGACCCGTGCCTGACCCCCAGCACCGGCAGCGGCAGGGGGCGCGTGGTCCAGCCCCGGACAGAGGACCTGGGCGGCTCCCCCCACGCACAGCCCGGGTAGGGGTGCACCATCGTCCGCACCACTCACCCCTGCCTCCCGCCTGCGGCTGAGACCCCTCCCCCCGCCCTGCCCAGCTCCGCCCCCCGCAGCTGCCTGCTACCCACCAGCCCGGAGGCCCCCTTTCCTGGCGGGGTCCAGGGCAGAGCTCGGTGTCAGAGCCGTTACCTGCCTCGGGTGGGGGCCGGGGGCATTAATCACCCTCCGCACGCTTATTTAAACCGGGCGGCCCGCCAAGTCTGTCTCCAGCAATTTCCTCCTGTTAATGATGCTTCCATCAGCCCCATGCAGCAAATCTGTCACAGCCAGCCCCCTTCAGGCCCATATTTCTAACTTTTAATTATGATCAGATGTGGAATATTGAGTAGTTTGATGCATTTTAGACGTCTGCGGAGATTTCTTTTTAACAATGCGATTGTAAGGCCCTAATGGCTCGTAACTCGGGTCATTCCTAGGATATGTGTTCAGTGGTGTCTCCAAAGTTGGACCTTAAGAGGGGAGACTGGGGGCAGAGGGGGCGGATCAGAGGGTTGAAGATGACCCTGGGAGTGATCACAGGGCAGAGACCCTCTCGGGTCCCCGCAGTGAGCCTCCGCTCCCGGCCGCGCCTCAGGTGAGCCAACCCCGCGTCCCAGAAGCGCCCTCGCCGGGACGGATAGGAGGCCACCCCTCCCCGAAGGGTGAGGGCGCTCTGGGTCAGGCGGGCCAAGCGGGAACCCCAGCTCCTCCCAAAAAAGTGGCAGCAGGCGGGTCAGCGAGGGGGTGACGCTGGGCCTGGCTGATGGCGGGTCACCCCACCAGGTGCAGGTGGCCGCGCTGTTGTTCCTGGGCGGGAGGGGCTGGTCCACAAACAGGAGCCGGTCCTTCCAGCTCCGGAGGGAGCGATTACCTGAGGCACAGAAGGCAGAAGCCCCCAGGGGCTTGGAGGGCAGCGGGGGAGGGGAAGGCCGGGCTCAGGGCCAAGGACACCTGCGTGGCGCCCTCCACGCTCCCTCCTCTGGGCCTCAGCCCCTACACGGTGGGCGCTGGGAGTCAGCAGCCCTGAAGCGGGGACCCCCAGAGCGGGGCGGCGGCTGCCCGCCAGGACAGGAGGTGTCATTTATTCCAGCGATGACGGGGAGCTCACCACCTCCCCACCCCCATCCGTCCACTGCACAGGCCCCCCCACGTGCAGCTGGCTCAGCATCCCCGGGGCTCTCGGTCCTTCCAAGGGTCCCCATGCCCACCCTGCCCAGGTTCATCCACTTAACAGACATTCGTCCAGTATCTGCTCGGTGCCAGGTGCTGGCCGGCCAGGGGGGACGTGGGGTGGGGGAAGGGCAGGCAGCGAGCCAGTGAACCCCCAGAACACCTGTGATCGTGCAGCCTCGCCCTGCATGGGGTACGCATGAACCCCCACGTGTAGCACCCATCACCCTCCGTCAGCGCCCCCCCACCCAAGGCAGCTCCACCCAATGCCGTAACTGGTCCCTCATCCTCAACCCTGAAAACCCCTGACCAAAATCCAGCTGAACTGTTCCCACTGTGGCATCCCAGGAGGGTCCCCGGACAGGACAAGGGCCTTGGCTGAACGCCCCCTCCCCCAGCTCAGGCTGGGAGGGGCCTGGGGCCTGGGCCCCGCTGGTCAGCTCTGTCCATCAGACTAGCCGTCCAGGGCTGGGCAGGGTAGCTGGCCCAGGGGGGGTAGCTGGCCTCCTGTTTCCTGGTGGCAGAGCAGTGAGCGCTCTGCTCAGGAGCGTGGCTCTGGGGGAAGACGGACCCGGAGGGGGCCTCGCACCCACCCCCACCCCCAGGCCCCTCTCTCGGTGGCCCTAAACCACCCCCAAGCCCACAATTTAGAATGTTTTTAACAAGCCCCATTACACACGTATTTTCCTTTTTCTTTCTTTATTGTTGAAGTTTAGTCCATTTACAGTGTTGTGTCAGTCTCTGGTGTGCGGCGCGCTGCCTCAGTCACATGCACACATACGTGTATTTGTTTCCAGATTCTTTTTCATTACAGGTTACTGTAAGATATTGAATATAGTTCCCTATGCTTTACAGTAATAATTTGTTGTTTATCTATCTTATAGACGGTAATTAGTATCCGCAAATTCCGAACTCCCAATTAATCCCTTCCCGCCCCCTTTCCCCCGGTAACCATAAGTTTGTTTTCTATGCCTGTGAGTCTGTTTCTGTTTTGTTAATAAGTTCATTTGTGTCATTTTTTTAGGTTCCACATATGAATGATGTCATATGGTACTTTTCTTTCTCTTTCTGGCTGGCTTAGCATGATCATCTCTGGGTCCACCCGTGTTGCAGCAAATGGCACTATTCCATTCTTTTTCATGGCTGAGTGGTATTCCGCTGTATCAACATACCACAACGTCTTTATCCAGTCATCTGACGTGGACATTTAGGCGGTTTCCGTGTCTTGGCTGTTGTAAATAGTGCTGCTGGATCTCAGAACACTGGGGTGCAGGTGTCTTTTCGAATCAGAGTCCCCTCTGGATATGTGCCCAGGAGTGGGATTGCTGGATCCTATGGTGAGTCTGTTTTAGTTTTTTTAAGGAACTTCATCCTGTCCTCCACAGTGGCTACCACATGTGTTTACTTTTATCAAAACTGGAAGCGCAGACACCCAGTGAGAGCACGCCCATCTCTGGCCAAGGCGCTGACCGCCGCTCCAGCTCCAAATCAACCGACTGTTCCTAAGTTTTCTGCATAAACATACATTATTTTTGTCGGAAACCAACAAAGTCATGGGGGCCCATTCGCTCAGCGGAACAGACGGTGGGACTCACAGATGGAAGTTGGGAGCTGACCTCACCTAGGCGCACAGGTCGGGGACGAGTCTGCCCCAAGTGACCCAGAGTGTGACCCAACCCTTGGACAAGGAGAAAAGGTCACCTCTGGTGTCCGGGAGCATGCCGACAGGCAAAGAGCAGGGTCTGCAGTCTTCCCCCAGCCCACCACTCGCCCCATTCCCCACCCTGAGCCAAAGCCAGAATGTGCTGGGGCAGAGCCCCCGCTCAGTGGAGCCCACCGGAGGGGACGACACCAGCGAATCACCGCTGGCTGTGGAGTAGGTGGGTTCTCAGGCCATCAAGGAACCATGAGCGGTTGCCACGGCAACAGCCCCGCCGTATTTCATCTCCCGGAGATTCAGGGAAACTCCAGCAATGCTGCGAAGAGCCAGGCTGAAAGGGAAGGGGCTTTAGCCTCCCGCCTTTGCGTTGGCCGGACCCCGGGGCTCTGAGCACAGGGTGCAGGCTGCCTGGACGAGACGGGGTTTGGAGGGAACAGAAGGGGTGGGTTTGAGGTGAGAAGCGAGGTGAGGGGCACAGCCCTCGGAGTGAAAGGGACCCAGATTCAACTCCGGGCCGACTCTTGCTCTTTGAGGTGTCGTCCAGGTCACGCGACCTCGCCAAGCCTCAGTTTCCTCACCTGTAAAATGGAGATAGGGATGGCACAGCGTGAAACCGGAATGCGAGACAGCACGTGCAGGGCTGGGTGCGCGTCAGCGTTCGGTACACGTCGCCGAGCATCGTGACTGCGTCCTCACCCGCGTAGCTGGGCTGTCTCCCGCGCGCTGTGAGTCCGCAGCTCTGCCTGGCGCCACTCTTCCCCTTCCTGAAAGGCAGCCCTCGACAGGCCTCGGCGTGCGGGTTGTCGGCGATTGAGTCTTTCAACTCAGCATTTCTGAAGTCTTTGTTGCACCTTCATTTTTGAAAATCTGTTTTCCTGGGTGTGGAATTCCAGACTGACGATCCCTCTTTTCCAGTGCTTTCAGGGCCCGTCCCCTGCCCTGTTCCCTCGTCACTGCTCCTCTGCCTTCGGCTGCTTCGTCCCGGGCGTGGAGCCACCTGATCACAGCGCGTCTCGCCATCATTCTCTTCATGCAGTTTGTGCTCGGGGCTAGCTGAGCAGCCCAAATCAGTGGCTTTGTGGGGTTTTTTCAATCAAATCTGGACATTCAGGAGCCCTCCTGCCTCCAGGGCCGGTCTGCTCCCCTCCGCCCCTCCTCCCCGCGGGGCTCCTCCCCTGCTTCATCTCGGACCTCCTCCGACGCCCTGTCGCCCGGTTCACAGCCCCGCTTCCTGCCGTGTGTGATCCCGTCCCGTGTGTCCTTCATCTCAGGCTCTGCCGTTTGTCGTTCCCACCTCGGAAGCTTGGTTTGGGCCTCCTCTCCGCCGCCGGGCCTCTGCCTCACGCGCCAACTTTCCCCCGGCTCCGGAACCGCGCGGAAGGCCGCCCAGCGGCTGCCGCCTCCCCGTCCGCCGGCTCCGCCAGCTGCGGGAGCCCTGGGCCCGTCTCCTCCCGGG